CCTCGCCCCCAAAGCGCCCCGCCCAGGCAATACCGTAAACCCGAGAAGAGAGCCGCATACGCTTCGCAGAGTTGAGCTGGGCTTAACCACTTTGCAGCGCTCTACCCAGGAGACCTCGAAGTCCTGTCCACCGGCTCCTCTCAGGAGTGTGCCCGGCTCCAGGAAAACGGGGAGAAACTTTCCCTCCACTGTTCCCCTTCCCACAATAGTTTAATTCAACGCACCGTATATTCAGGGATGGGGAAGACGAATGGGTTACGAAAAAGTCCTGTCTTTCAGGAATGTGCAATCTAAGGCACGCTTCCATCCACCTAATCCGTTTTCCTTTACAGAAAAGCCTCTCCGACCTCTTCAAAGCCCTCAGGTTCTGAAGACGGTTGGTTTCCCTGCCTCACTTGCGCTTCACTCTGGGAATTTCGGCGCGGGGGTGGGAGGGCGGAGCCTCTCTGACTTCTGCCCCGGAAGTTTTTCCCACAGTAAAGCGCGCACGTTGAGCCGGCTTCACTTGCTTCAGCTTCCAGGCTGCCTGTGGAGCATGTCTTCCAAGAAGAACAGAAGACGGTCCAACCGGAGCTCCGGCCGCTCCGGTCGGGGTTCGCCCTCGCCCTCCACGGCTCGCTCTCTGGCGGGGGCCTCGGCTGCTTGTCCCGAAGCCGGTTTCGCGGCGGCGACTGGGACCCTGGCGGTGATCAACTTCCTAGAAAAGGGTGAGAGCGTTTGGGAGGGCGGCCGGAGGCGGAGGGGGCGCCACCTGAGGGGACGGAGACCAGGCGGTGGGCTTGTAGGCGCGGCTCTGGGGAGGGTGGGCGAGGCCGGGGTGTGAGGGCTCGGGGCCACGCGCGCCCCGGGCCGGGCACGAGTGCCCTTTCCGTGACTGACTCAACGGTCCCTTTTGTAAGTTGCTTGGAATTGCCTAGTTGCACTTGGGACATTGACAAAGATGGACGACATATTTAGCGGCACATTGCGCCTGCCTAGCCTGCTTAGAGGGCGCGACACTGAGCCCAGTTCTGTCAAGATACAGGGACACCTGTGCTGAGTGGCGCCCCTGCGCCTTCGGGGCGGAAAGGTGGCCGCTGCGTGCACGACCGCACGGGCTCTGCTTCCATTGCGTGTCCCCGGCAGGTGCAGTCCCCGCGGACGCCCTGGGGTGCGGGTGCGGGTGCGGGTGTGGGGTGGACTGTGCCCATTCTGTAGATTCCTCAGCTGCACGTTCGAGCCCAGGTCGCAGCTCGCAGGAGCTGGGAGGACGGGTTTGCCTGAAAGGTCGGCCAAGCCCTGGAGAGTGGGGCGGAGTGAAGCGGGGGCAGGAGGACTCTGTCCCCCGTGGACCCCACAGGCAGCCCCAGAGCGAAGCGCTTGTCCCAGAGTCCTTGCCTCCCGGGGGCGGGCAGGGAACAGTGCGTCCTGTCCCCAGGCGGGTCCTCCCGTCCGCTTCAGTGCGCTCCCGCCCCCCTCTGCCCGGGGCCGTGCCCCCTCAACCCTCCATCATGTCCCCCGGAGCTGCCTGGGCCGCTGACCGCGCTTGACCTCCCCGCAGCTTCGGCCAGGAAGCCACCATGTCCTCCACCTGGAAGCACTTGACTTCATTTGACGCCTCGTCAGGCTTTTCTAGTTTCCCCTCTCCCTCTGGTCGGTGCTTGGTCGGTTTCCTTTCCAGGCTCATCTTCTTCCAAATGGCGGAGTTCCTCGCCTGCCCGGCGGTGCAGTTGGTTGGAGCGTTGTCTTGCACCCCAAGAGGTGTGGGCTCCATTTCTGGTCCCGGCAATGATCCGTGTTCCCCCCGCCCTTCCCAGTGTAGCACTCCCCCCCCCCCCTCTCCCTCTCCCTCTCTCTCTTTTTCGTCACTCCCTAATCAATAAATATATCCTATGGCGAGGATTAAAAAAAAGTTGAAGTTCCTCAGTTCTCAGTCCTAAAGCTCGTCTTGTCTTTATAAATGTTTCTTTGGCAGGTTAATTCACTGCCCAGAGTTTACCCATTTATGCCCTCAGCTTTTTCAGATTTATATTTCTAGTTTATACTATTTCTCAGTCTTGATTTACTTGTCCTCTAGACCAGTGATTTTCAACCTTTTTCATCTCATGGCACACATAATTAATTGAAATTCTTCGGCATACCAAAAATATGTTTTTCGCCAGTCTGACCAAAAAATCGATATAATTTTGATTCATTCACACCGGACAGCTATTGTTGGGTTGGCTGTTGTCATTTTTTTAAAATTTGACAATCTAGGGAAAAGAGCTCAGTGCCCCTGACTAAGTAGGCATTGCATGCTTTAAAAATTCTTGGGGCAGGCTAGTTGAAAATTGCTGCTCTAGACCAATGCTTTTCCAACTCTATAGAAAAGGTTTTAAAATTTAAGATATGCCACAGATCAGCACAGTTTTAAAATACAATAAGTTCGGCTGGCGCGGCTCAGTAGTTGAGCATCGGCCTGTGGTTGAGGTCAGGGTTCAATTTGTGGTCAGGGCACATGCCTGGGTTTCAGTGTGGGGCATGCAGGAGGCAGCCAATCAATGATTCTCTCTCATTGATGTTTCTATCTCTCTTTTTCCCTCTTCCTTCCTTTGTGAAATCAATAAAAATATATTAAAAATAAAAGCTTTTAAACATTTATTCTCATTTTCTGTGCTTATTAGGAACCAGAAGCAAATAGTTTTCCAACTACAGTTTAAATAGCACTGTATTATATCTCTTCTCTTGGATTTTTCAGAGGTACTTCAAGACTGACCTCAATAACTCATTCAGAAACCTGAGAGTCATGTATGACACCTCTTGTCTCCAATATTCAGTCCACCACCAAGTCCTGCTTATCACCTAAAAATTTCCCACATTGCTGTTTTTCACTCTGTTCCATTGTTTCCGCCATAATCCAGACACTTATCCTCTCTCACCTGGACTGCTTACTACACCGGCCTTTCCACTTACTTCCTGCTCTACACCTGGAATGGTCTTTGAAATGAAGATCCTGTCATGGACCCTCATTTCACCCCTCAGTCCTCTGTTGCTGTTAAAGACCAGCAACTTGATATCACCTGCTGCCCTGAATGGTCTTGACCTTCCTTGCATGGCTTGTCTCCCACCACTCCCTCTGCCTGTCCTCTTCCCTCTGATGCACAGAACTCCCTTCTGTCTACGATCTCTGGACATGTTGTTCTCTGCTCAGAATTATCTTTTTTTCCTCTTCATTTAGTTAATTCCTACTCTTCCTTCAAATCTGAATTGAAGCAATATTTCCTTGAAGAAGCTTTCTCTTATTCTTCCAGATGAGATCCGATCCCACACTAAAGGCTTTCTAGCACTCTGTCATTTTTTTTTATTGCATTAATCTTTGTTTATAACTATGCAGTTATTCAGTGTTTTTTTAAAAAATCCTCACCTGAGAATATGCTTTTTAAAATTTATTTTTAGAGAGAGAGGAAAGGAGAGAGAAAGAAACATCAATGTGAGCGAGAGAAACATCGCTTAGTTGCCTCTCATATGGGCTCCAACGGGGGATGGAACCTGCAACCTAGTTAATGTGCCCTGAACTGGAATCAAACCAGCAATGTTTCAGTGTACTATAGATGCTCCAACCAACCGAGCCACCTGGCTAGAGCTCAGTGACTGTTTATAACTCTGTTATCCTATTACATTATCAGTTAGATAAAGCCAAGGACTGTGTCTACTTCTGAATCCCCAGTGTCTAGTGTAGTATCTGTCCTATAGTAAAGATTTGATGAATGACCGAGTGAAACCTGGATGGTTTTGTAAAATTATTTTTACTGTCTCATTAGTCAGTCTGGCACATAAGTGCTCAATAAGCATGACGTCAGTTACTGGGGACAGCGGATGTCTGCCTATTTACCTATCTGTACTTTTAAATGTATTTTTATTGATTTCAGAGAGGGAGCGAGAGATAAGAAACATCAATGATGAGAGAATCATTGATCTCTGCCTCCTGCACGCCCCCCACTGGGGTTCGAGCCCACAACCTAGGCATTGATACCAGGACCCTTCAGTCCACAGGCTGATGCTCTATCCACTGAGCCATACCAGCTAGGGCTCTAAGTCTTTTCTTAAAAAATTAAATGCAGCCATCAGGTGTATAAAACAGATAAAGGTGCAGCTCCTACAGTTGAAGGGAGCTAGGGGAGAGTGAACATAGAACGTCCTTAATTCTATGCTAAGCTGTGGCTAACTCTCTCTACTGACACCCCCCTCCACCCATGGAACCACAAGGGATCTGTAGCTCTCCCTGTTCTAGGGAATGCAAACGTGGGTGCTCATGGACACGGTTAGAAGTACAGTAGGAGTTCTCTTCAATGATCGCTGCATACTAACTTGTTAGATTAAGAAATGCTTTCCACCCTTTCTGTAAAATATAATGACTGGTGCCTAAGCTGACACTTCAAACTAACAGTCTAGTTGCTGGGATGCCCCTGTGTTTCTCCTTCCACCATATGAGATGTGAGATTTTGGGGTCTCTTTCTGCCAGTTATATGTGTTAGTGTAATTATGTGATTTGGTTGCATATTATATACACTGAAAAAAATGTGGGTGTGAAAAGAAAATGCTCTAAACTGCTTTGGGAGGTTGGATTAAAAGAAAAAAGAGTTGCTAAAATGAAATCAAACCTGCCATTGAACGAGGTGGGGGTGGGTCAACCACAGAAACCTGGAAGATTCTGTACTTAGATGGCTTCCTAAATGTCTTCAAGATCTCATTCTGCTTCAAGAAGACTGAGGCTGGAAATTGCAGATGATGCCTTTCTGACATGGTTTATGTGAGCATGGTCATTACAAGCTCCAATCAGCAAACCTAAGAAGCGTTTTGGTCTCAAAACATTTGGATAAATGAATATGCATTTATACGTTTTAAATTAGAATATTTACGGTACACATATACCATGTTATGATCAAGCATAATCATTTTGTGACCCTTTTTGGTTAGCGAATCAGCTGCCGGCTCCAGCTGCTTGGGGTAGGCGGGCCCTACTTCAGGCGCTTCACTGTGGATGCTCTGCACGTGAATGGACAGATACTGGTACTTAGTTGTCATCAATGGCTACAGAGGGTGGAAGCTCCCTGAATGAGGGAATATTTGTCTTCTTTGTTCAGTGATGTTAATTTTTTTTAAAGTTGCATTCATTCAAAACATCATAGATATTTTTAATTAAAAAAAGGAACGTACGTTTACCTGAATAATTCTTAAAACTATAAATAAAAAAGGAAAATGAGCCATAAATCACCTTCTGTGGATATAATTACACATTTGGCATGAGTCTCAGAAAGGACTTTGTCGATTTCCTGGCCAGGTCATATCTAGGTCAAAGGCTGGGCCACTTACCAGAGACAGAGGTCTGAGACCTGCTCCAAGATTGAACCCAATCAGGCAGGGACCCGCACCCCCTCCTG